ATATATATATAAAATAAAATAAAGAGAGCTTGGATTTGTATTATTAGAGACTGAACGCCTGAAGGAAAGGCAGATATAAATATATCTTTTGAAAAAGGGCCCCTTCTCTTATCATTCTAAAAGGTTTATGTAATAGTTATTTTGAAAACAGAAAAGGGCCTTACAAATTGTGTGAGATAGTGCCTAATATTCATGTTAAATATAGACGCAAAGATTCTGACCACAACTTTGACCTGAAGACTGAAGAACACTGCTATCAATAATGTATATAATTCATACATGCACACACGCATGCACACAATTAAAACATTTCTATTTCCTAGTACAGTATAGGTTTTCTCAAAACCTTGACTTTTATAATGCTAAAATTGTGTTTAATTTATGCACACACATACACACACACACACAATTTTTTTATTGCCCGCAACATCAATCCGAATCATGTAATGGTGTCTATGGTACTTGCTTGCTACCTCCTGGAATTCAACTGTTACAGCTGCAGTTGAAGCCTACTCCCTCTCTGCTTCTCCTACAGCAATTCTTTTAAGGGTTTCCCCCCAAAAGTAGAAGAGAGGGGACTTCAGCTCCTGATCACATCAACCTCTGTTTTGCTCTTGAGATGCATAGAAACACTCCAAATGAAATAGACCAAGAGCATTGAGAGCAGGCTGATCTGGGAGACCGATCATGAAAGCAACTTTGTCAGACCAACAAAGTCAACTTTCTTATCTGAACATGAAAGGCATCTCTGTGGTTCAGGGCTTTCATAGGCGGAAATTTATGTCTTCTTGTCCCCTTCCCCCAAATATGGGTTTAATCTGTACGTAGGTATGTTGGGGGTGGGTGAGGAAAGAGGACACACACTGAAGGGGTTTTGTTCAGAGATGCTGAGTTTAAGCGAATGTCTTGTGTTCCCCACTGGCAAATGCATGACTGTGGCTTATTATGCTGCTTAATGAGGCCTGAAAGCGCAGCCTTTTCTGGGTTCAGGGTTAGATGTGCCAGAGGAAGATTTGTTGACGCTGGAAAAGGGATCCTTGAAAAAACTGATAACAATTCAGGCACAGACTGACTAGATCTGACTCTGACTGGAGAAATGAATTGATTGGAACCGGCTTATCCTTTTAGATTTTTCATTTCTCTGCATGTATATGATGTTTATTTCTTGGCTAGGAATCAAGGTTTAAAACATGCTACTTTAGGTTAAAATATATTTTACAATGCACACTTTGTGATAATAGGTATTTGCAAATGTAAGTTTATAGTTGAAATCCCCTAAAGGAAACGTTTTTGTTTTTTTTAATGAATCACAGATTAACGTGGACATGAAATTTAGGAATGAACATATGCAAAAGTGACACGAATAGGAAAGAGACTGATAGAAGATATATAGGAAAACTAAAAATAAATATCTGAATGCTACCCAGAAACTTACTTCGCTGTATGTAGGTACATTTTAAGATTCTGAATAGGTTCAAGCCAACAGCAACAAACTTTACAGGAGTCTTAGGCCAGAGTCAAATAAACCAACCCCTACCTGTATTGGTATCCATCCATATAATTTGCTACATGTATATCAAGGTTAGTGAGACCAGTTCCAAAACAGCAGACTTGCTATGGCACACCCTAAGGAATAGCGAGAAAAAGGCACGTGCCATTTTCATTGCTAAGAATTTTGCTCGGATTTATGAACTAAAGCAGGAACTGCCCTTGCGCACTGAATTATACGTCACCCAAATTGCGATTGTAGACAGGACTGCTTGCATTTGGGAACTTTGTACGTGACTGCAAGTGGAGGGAGTGGTTTCCATAAGCAAATCATAGCCCCAGTGATTAAAAAGAGGAGTAGACATAGAGGTATTTCTCCTTCCAATAGTAGGGTCAGGGGAGTAAGTGCCAGTTGGGGCTGAAGTCAAACTTGGGACACTGAGAAGCAAGAGGAAAGGATGAACTTGCCCAGAGGAGATGTAGGACAGGTACAAATAAAAATAAAACGATTAGCACCCCCGCCCCCAAATTCAAGATTCAGTATGCTATCACATGACCAAAAAGGAAAGGGGAAAAATCCGGGTGGGGAGAAGAAATGACTTGCTTGATATAATTGCAGCTATGTTCCTGGTTTCTAGTCTATGTGAGATGCCCCTAAGGGCAGGGACCTCTT